GAGTTGTGAATTTACTTTGATAAAATATATTATTTCTGATTATAAATGATTATTTCTTAAAAAATTTTGTAAAAATCTTCGAACCTAGAAGGCATTTTTAATGAAAATAATGATAAAATTGTACAAAAATTACCATCAACAACTTGTTATAAGCGATAATAAAAAAAATTATCTTTTTCGTTTCAAAAACAAAAAAAGGAAATTTACCTCAAGGATTTTAAAACTTTTAAGGTGCACAATCATTTCCATTTATATTTTTTCCACAAAATGAAGCGGTCTTAAGATTTATTTTACTAACAGTGATTTATTAAAATTATTTATCTATTATATTGTGTCCTTGATGACTTCCTTCTAAATATAATACAATGCTCACTTAAATTTGAACAATAAAACTTATTAACTACTGTTAAAAGATAATAAAAATGGCACTTATAAAAAAAAATTTTTTTAATATTCTTGTTTCAACTTTTACAATAATTTCTCATAAATCACGGTTTTATAATGTGTGCTTAAAAGAATTTTCAACAAAATATTATACTCTTGTTTTAAGTACTTTTTTTTGATTTCTTAAAAAACCTGTCAGATTAATTTATTTACAAAATTTTTATCATTTTTTAGATTTTAGAATATCAGATAATTTACTATTTAGAGGATGTTGGGCAGAACAATTTTGAAGAAGGAGTACTACAGGAAAATCTTTGCGAAAAAGGTGGTGTTAAAGGATGATGTAGAAAATGATTTAAACATTTCGCAATGGTCCAATAACAGTTAATTATCTCAAATAATTTATTTAAGAAAGTAATCTCAAATATATTTATTTGAGAAAATGATTTTTCTTTATATGCCAGAATAAAATCTAGTTGCCAACTTAATTTTGTAAACTATCATAGATTTGTTGTTCCTCTAAACATATTACTGGATTTTCAAAATAATCAACGGAATAGTACCTTATTAAATCCCATGATTTTTCAAATTCTGAAAGAAAGTTATTACATAAAGGAATTAGAGTTGAATAACGACTAAATAATAACGAATAAAAATATGATTTCAGGCAAAAGACTATGGGTCTAAAATTAATATAATCAAATACTTGAGCATTGATAATCAAACGATTCTTTTAGCCCTAAAATATGCAACTATTCTGATGTTCAAATTACTTATATGGAAAATGCTGGTTTTACTAATATACTACTCATTTTGACCGCATAATATACTAATATTCGAAAATTTTGTAGAATTTCGGTTCTAATCACCCAGAACATAAATAGAGAAATCAAACACTCAAAACAATTTATATATATTAAAAAGGTTCAAACAATGGGGAAAACTAATTGACAGTATATGAATAAAACAAATATATATAAATAAATTCTTCTACAGCAGAAAACATGAATTCCCCTAGATTAAACGAAGCATTTCGAATCACATAAGGATTTTAAGATTTTAAAAAATCAAATTCAACTCAATTTTCTTTATTATACAATAATCATTTTAACTTCTTTACATTAAACAACCACACTACTTAAATTTTTAACTTTTTACCTTATACAATGGTTAAACCCACGGATTAAAGAGAATAAACTCCTTAGTTCTATGTATAAATATATTTATGTATGTACCTACAATTGTACATTATATACTTTTAAAATAAAACAGGGTAAATTGTAAGAAAATTATTTTATTAAAAAAAAACCGGCATTACATAAAATAAAGTTCTTAAAATTATCTAGTTACAAGGTATAATCAACTTGAATTACTTATATAATTACGTCATTCAGATTCATTGAAATAATCATTTTCGTTTAGCTCCCTTTATGCATCTTCTTTTATATCTATTTTTTTTTTAAGTTCGAAGTGCATTTTTTCATAGAATATAAAAAAGTGTGATAAAGAAATTTCAAGCAGATTTTTATTCTATAGAAAAACAAAGTGATGACTTTAGAAATTAGCAATATTTTGTAAAAATGTTCAGAACTTCTGAAACAAGCAAAATAGCAGGGAAAATATCTTAGTTGTCACCTACATATTGATTATTTTTGAAAATCATTATTGGAAATTATCTTACACTCATCTAATCCGTTACTATATTTTAAAAAAGCAATTTTTAGCAGAAATAGTTTGTTTTTCAAGACAATCTTTATAAGCCCTTTGACATTTTAATCTAATTGGAAATGACAATTCTATTTTCATGTCAGATCTTCACTTTTCATTAAAAGAAGAAGCTCTCAAAATTATTTAAGAAAGTTCAAAATTGAAATTTTTGCAACGAAAGTTTTTAAAATTTTTGTCCTTCCTATAGTCATTTTAATACAAATGAGAGCAAGAAATGAAAAAGTTAACATTTTCATTTTTCAAGTAAAATCATTTTTACATTCCAAATTTACTATTATTCTACATAAAATATTCAAGATTACACGTTTTAATTTCCGTAAAAACTCGGGTAGCAAAAAAAGAGTTTTTAAAAAAAATCCTAACATTTGCGTAAAATTAATGGTGCAAACACAAATTATTGGGAAAAATATTTCCAATCTCTTTGCGTTTTCAAACGTTCTTCTAATTTCGTTTACTATGCTATAAAATATTTAAAGGGGATTGAAATTTAATGAAATCATTCAGCAATTCTATTAGTTTGCAATTGTGGGTTCTGTTTATCTTTACCGCTAAAACGAAATTTTTTACATTAATATTATAAAGTGTTGGTCGGTGCAATACTAAAATATTTTCCAATTTTCATTTTCAAAATAACAATTTCTTAAAATGGTTTTCATCGGACAATTTTTATCTTAATGCAATCATATATTTTTTTTGTTTCCCTTTTTATATAATTTTTTATACAAATTTAAAATGAAACTAAGCTAATATGCAGTTAGCAATAATATTACGGTACAATAATAATTCACAATTATGTGCATTATATACAGACAAAATGATTTTATCTTGCAATTTTCTTTATTTTATCCTCCGATTTCTTATTACCCTTTATGAAACATTCTTTTATTTTTTGTTTATTTTGAATTTTAAAGATTTGAATTTAAAAACTTTAAATATAAAATTGTGCGTTTATAATGTATTTATGATTTTTGTAGTTTGAAATTATTTTAAAAATTTTATATGTATTTATTGCATACAACTGAAAGAAAACAAGAAAAAAATTTAATTTGTTTTTAAAATAAACTGGGTTGTCCGAAAAAATTAAGCAAAATATTTAAAATTGCTTTTTAGAGAATAAGAATAGATCTAAGTTTAAACACACTTTTTAGATTTTTGTCAGTCAATCACTCTGAATTGAACCAATTTCTTAAAGTTATGACATTTACGAAACTCTATGACATTTTCGAAGAACCGCTAAATACTTGATTTGATAAATGTTTTTTATGTGTTTTCTTCTACGTTTAATTTGACCATTATATTGCCCACGTTGAGCCACATTTTAAAGGTTCAAACTGGATTGCAGAAACAACAATCAAGAACTTAAATAAGGTGCTTAAATACTTTGCATTGCAACAACTAGACTCATACTTCAAATTGAAAATTACCAATAAGTTTCTGACAATATTGGCATGACAATATTCTTTTGCAAAAAATACAATTCCTATAGTTGCCAGAATTATTTTAACTTTTTATTTTAAAGTATATACACACTTTATTTTACACCATCATAAACTCTTTAAATCTATGAACCTTTTAAAATATTATTGCAGATCTTTTTTCTATTTGAATTATTAACGCTTGAATTCTTATTATAAGAAAGGAGTTATATTTTATCTAGTATAACAAAAAAGGCAAAAAAAAAATCATTTTCTCCTGAGACTCATTGGAACCTTTGAATATACAAAAAGAATAATATAACAAACTTTAATATTTTTAGTACTAAAACAAAAGAAAAGAAAAATTTAAGATTTACAAAAACAAAAAAAAAAGTCGTATATAAAACGAAAAGGGTAATAAGTAACTAGAAAGAGTTGAAAGCATTATTACAAAAAATTTAATTTTTATTTTTCCAATTTAAAATTGAAAGTAAATATAATGCGAATTTACACGTATACATATACTGAAGAAACTAAAAGAAAATTTTATAATAAAAAACTTTTATAAATTTTTCTTTTGAATGCCACCTCAAAATCGTTTTGCACTTGTTATTGAAAGCAGAACAAAATAGTTTTCAACAAGTCAATAATTGTATAGAAAACAATACAGACAGATTTAAAGTTGTCAGCATGTCTTGTAGAACATTTACGAGTATAACATAATTTTGCAATCTGAAATAAAATAAGAAAGTGAATATTAAATTATTATTCAATTTGTATGTATAATCGAAAAATCACTTTCGAAATTAGTTTTTGAATAAAATTGTAATAATTTTTAAATGTAAGTAATTCAATATTATTTTTAAATTTATGAAATTGGAATAAAAAAAGAAATTGTACCCAAGAAAATTACATTGTTTAAATTTTGAAAATATTGCATAGCGTCAGGCGAATCAAAATTTTTAATTAAGTTCTTATTATTTTTCTAATATCATGAATTGCATATCTTTACAAAACTTAAATAAACATGCGGCAAAGCGAAACGAAACTAAAATTAGTAAAGTATAATTAAAATTAGCAATACAATTCTCTTCCTCTCTCTAAATACCTAATATAATCTTTATAATATTCAATTCTCATCAATCAATTCTCATCAAATTATTGAAATTTTGCGGTAAATACATTTAAAGCTTTTTAAAGGTAATTAACTTCGAACAGGTGTTTAAAGCTGTATTTGGTTTTATCTATAAAATAATTCATATAGATTAGTAAAGATTGATTAAATTATTTTATTAATTTTAAATTTACTCTTATCTAAATTAATGGTTTCTGTTGTCAAATTAGTTAAAAATTTTCAAACTCAGTACTAAATTTACTGTAATAAAATTAAAATGCAAGTTACCATTAAAAATTAATTTCATTTTTGAATAATTTTTATTTATTCAAGTTATTATAAAAGTTAAATTTTGTAATTTTAAAAAAAAATTTTTAATTTTAAAATTTTTAGTCTGAAACAAAATGGCTACCAAACAAATTTTAATTTTTACAATTTTAATGTTAAACAAATTGGGAAATGCGAATATGTGGTTTTGTGAGAACAATGAAGATTGCAAAGAAATGAATGAAAATGCAATTTGTTTTAAATCTCGATGTCAGTGTCCATCAATGCAAGTCTACTCGTTAGATAAACGTTCTTGTTTGGATTCTGTTATTTATGGAAAACCTTGTCAAGAATCGATTCAATGTAATTTATTAAATTCAAAAGCAATATGTTCTGAAGGTGTTTGTAAATGTCAAGAACACGAAACGTATGTGAAAGGTAAATGTCGTATTTTAGTACCTTTAGGTGAAACTTGCCAAAGCACATTAGATTGTTATTTTGGTTTTGATCGTCAATCAGTTTATTGTAATGCTGAAAAAAAATGTGATTGTGCTGAAGGTTATTATAAGCGTCATGCAACAATTTGCCGCAAAAAAATGTTTAAAGCAAATGATCCATGCATTGTTCATACTGATTGCTTTGGATTAAGTACTGAAGCACAATGCTTAAAAAATGTATGCGTTGAACCAAAAACTGTATACAAAAACCAAGTGAATAATTTAAATAAAAAACAAGTTATAAAATTAATTTCTGAAACAAAAATTGTAAATTTAAACGAAACCCAACCTAAATTAGGCGATCTTTGTAATGAATTAAATATGCCATGTCAAGGATTATCTAATTCCATATGTATTGGGCATTGTTATTGCAAATCTGGTTATTACCCAAATAATGAAAAAACGCTTTGTATTGCTGAGGTAGGGGAAAAAGCTACACATTCTGAAGAATGTGGTAATGCAAAAGGTGTAAAATTTGATAGCTCAGAAAATTTATGTGTTTGTGAAAATAATTTTTTTATTGATGAAGATCAAAAGGCATGCAGAAAATCAATTGTTTTTACAGCATTTTGTACATCTCATGGACAATGTAGTCCTTATAATGCTATTTGTGATCCTAATAGCTCTTTAAGAAAATGTTTATGTGCTCATTATGAAGAATATGATCAAAATTTACAACTTTGCGTAAATAAAAAAGGTTTAGGAGGACCATGTTCTGATGATACATATTGCAATATAGAAAATTCAATATGTTCTGAGGCAGGATTTTGTGTTTGTGAAAAAAATTTTTTTGAAGATAATGGTAAATGTTTACCAGGATTAAATGCAACTTGCTTAAGTGAAAACGATTGTGCTATAAATAACAGTACTTGTACAAATAATACTTGCAATTGTTTAAATAATTTTACTGTGGTGGATGGCGGATGTTTTAAAATAGCCGATAATGTTGGTGAATATTGTGATAAAACTGAACAGTGTCAACATATTAATGGAATATGCCAAAATAATAATTGTGAATGCAGTACAGAAAAACATGCCGCATTTGGAAAATGTTATCAAAGTAAAATGCTTCAAGAAGAATGTGCCAGTATTGGAGAATGTCTGTTGAAACCTGAAGATGAAGAAGGCAAAGAATGTCGTAATTCGAAATGTGAATGCAAAACAGGTTTTATACAAAATCAGTATGAGCAAACATGTTCGTATAATTCAAGTACAAAGTGTATCAGTCAATTAAATGTTATTCTCAGTATTTCATTTCTTACATATTTTTTACTAAAAAAAATATTTTAAATTTAATTGCATAGAATTGTTCCAATAAAAAAAGTGTTAATTGTTGTTTAAATTATTTAGTAGATTTATGAAGAAAATAATAAACTTTTAAAAAATGTATAAGCAAATATGTGTTTGTATATATGATTATTTAAACTAATAACCTTGTGAATTCAGTTAACATTATTTTAAAATGTTCTACATTAACGTTTAATGTTCTACAAAACAGGTTTTGCCAAAAGTAGAAACAACCAGGAATATTATCGTTATAAAAGGTTTATTATGTAAATTATAATTTGGTTCATTGAAAAACAGCTTGGAAACGAACTTCTAAAATATGACGAATTCTTCTCGAAGCGATTAGTAATAAGCGCAAGCTCATTCTACTCTGATTAATTACGACAACGTATTTAGTTTGAGAAACTGCCTCTATTTCAGTATGTTCTTAATATACAAAATCGTATAATTGTAATAAAAACCTTCATTTCAGTAAAAGTACCTTTTACTAGCATTACACTCTGTAGTTTTTATTTGAATGGCTTTTTACCCTAATTTTAGATTTATTTTTACGTAGCATATCTTTCAAAAAATATCCTAATGCATATCATAATTTGTCTTGGTGAATTATAAAGCTGTAAATAACTAAATAATACAATAAAGAAACTCTTTGTTTTGATATGCTTTGGGAATGGCAACTTGCAATCATTCCCCTATTACGATATAAAAATTATATAACATTTTTGCATATATTCATATGCTGAATGGTTTCTAATAAATAAATACGTACATTTAGGTACAGTCTGCTTTCGAATTTAAAAAAAGACATCCTGCTAATCCGTCTAAAACAAATGTAGCATTATTCTTTGAGAAATTTCTTAAGATTTTTAAATGACTTGATTTTAAAATCAAGTAATTTAAATCAAAGTTAAATGTAAATTCCCTTTCAAAGACAACATTTATGTATTTTCTGTCTGTCATTTCATTTTCTTAAATGCTCTCAAAATCTTAAAAACAATAATAAGATGCTTTTAACAGTATCTGATTGTGATTTGCTGTAATTTGCTTTTAAAAAGCATTTTACTAACAGTAATTTGGTTTGTTTTATATTGTTATCTTAAACATTCCATTAAGAGGAAATTTTAATGCATAGCAAACAAATCGATATACTATGTACATAAAATATGTACACACATTTAAAACAAAACAAAAGCTTCATAAAATTATATTATATAAATTACCCAACCATATAAACTATTGTGTATACTTGCATAAAACTTTAAAATGCAACAAAATATTCGAAGCTGAGAAAAGAGCAGAAAAATTCTGTTCTTTATACAACTTTATATTCCCACATTCTTGCACCCGCTTTTCATCTTAAATTGCAAATTTATTTCTTTACCGCACATGGATTCGTATCCTTACTTTCAGAATCAACCCACATAAAAATGTTTACACAACTGTAATCCAATATTATGTCTGGATTTTAACAGTTTTTTATATGTAATATTTGTTATTTTAAAAACATAAAGAAATATTTATAATGATAATATGGGATTTAGAAGATCTCTGAAGTCATATTGTATACATAAGTATTTAGACATAATATGTAAATGTACATGTGTACATACATGGCAAGTTTAAATATAATTAAAAAGTACTTTTAAAAATAATGTCCACAATGATTTTCCACAAAATGATATTATTACGGAATAAAATAGTAAATTTCCACAAAATAATATTAAAAATAATTACTTAATTGAGTTTTGTATTTATTGATTCGTCTACCACGAAAATGTAATCTATATTATTGTATAATGTGTATTAAGCTTTTTAATGAGGGAGCCAATTGAACATAGCTTTCTGCGTATTTTGTTTGAGATAGGTAACGGCATCATAATAAAAGAGGTAATTCCCTATAGTCAACAGATGCTCTATAAATCTGATTCGCCGTAATCTAAATGTTATAAAATTTATCCTGCAACGATATTAACGTTTACCTAATATTGTTAAAAACTAAGTTCAACTAAAAAATAAATCAAATAGTATTTGAGCTCATTTTTGAAGCTCTTACTAACTCTGGTCTTATATACTTAAAGCTATATTGCTGTAGAATTAAAACAGGAGTGATGCCAATAAACAACTCTAAAGCAGCAAATTTCAAATCTAAAATATATAAGTGAACAAAGGTAGTACTAATAATTAAACTTCAATCTAAAATGAACTGCTTTATGCGGTATATTTAAAACAAATTCGCTGCTACAGCAATTTTAAGTTAGAACTACAAATATGAGCACAACTTGTGAATCATTTTTCATATTGCCGGTCAGAACAACAACAAAATTAGTATAATGTGTTTTATACTTAATTTTCTAAAATTATCGTGCCTTAACTTTTTTCTTTATTAGGTACCTTAACCGAAACTTAAACCTACATCATTTGAAATAATTTTTTTTCTTAACAAATTGTAGTTAAACTTTTCTACATTAAAATATTTTATTCTACAAAAAAGAACAGTAATTTTTTGTTTTTTGCAAAAGAGTTAAATAAGTTCAAAATAAGAAATAAATGCTAAAGGTTACTTATGTGTTTTAAAAAATTTTACTTCTCCAATTTCCCTTTTTTGTTAAAAATGTGAAGCTGAACACCCACACATGATACAAAATCAACGAACTTATTTTCTTTATTATAATATTACGAAATTAAACTTAATAACTAAACTAATATGAAAATTTTACAGGTTCCTAATTATAAAATTGTGATCTGCCTTAATCCTTCAAAAAATTTTACCTTAATAAAATTGTGCAGCCAAAACACATTGCTAACATTGAAATATTTTAGGAGTGAATATTTTATGATTTTGAAAAAAAGTTCTCAAAATCTAGGCTAATTCAAGACTGATAAAAAAAATTAATGTTCTTGTAAACTTGTAAAACAATAAAACAAACATAATAAATTTATTTAAAAATCAATTAATTAAAAATTTAAAAACTTTCAAATTTGTTTGAATTCAATATTTTTTTATAATTACTTAATAATCTCATCGTTTTCATTTATCATTCCCATAAGTAAAAAATTTTCAAAACATATTCCATAATCATTTTATTTCAATATTTATTTCATTATTTTCATACAAAAGTAACAGGTTCACAATATCTCGAATATTTCGAAATCTTACTCTGAAAAGCAAGAGAGTTGATTTTGTTTTTTTACACTTGATGAATTTTAATGATTATAAAATAAAGTTTTGCGCAACATTTTCATATTTATAGCAACGCATAACCAACATAAAATCAAAGCACAACATTATACATTTATTTTCGCCCAAGAGAAATTAAAATTTTTGGCAAAGAAGAAGAGATCATTAAAGAAATCTGATAAATTCGTACAGAATGGAAAAATCAAGGTTTCTTATTGTAAGGAAAGCATATTTTCAAGCAATATTGTGGTATATAGCATAAACTTGTTCGGAAAACACGTTGGAGAATGAAGTAGGTATAAAATTTTTAAATTATCAAAAGGGGGTGTGAAGAATGTTTTCATTCATTACATATTTTCAAATAAAAATTTACGCTTGATCAAAGTTTTTATAAAATTTTTTTAAATTCCTATAAAACTTGATAATATTCGAAAATTATTGAAACAAAATATTTTCTTAAACATCGTTATTAAATGTTAAGTAAAATTTTTTACGAAATTTTGAAATTTCCCAATTTCAATCTTAATTAAATTTATACGAATTAGACAATCAACTCAAAAGTTAAAATTTTTTTTAATATGTCTAAAATAATATATGCCAAATTAAGATTACCTACGTTGCTGTTATTCAAATTCCTCGGTCAAATTTACCTGAATGCTTATGTGTTAAAATCGATTTGTATTTCCTCAATAGCAACAAGCAAAATACAGATATTTTTATATAGGAGTAACTTATAATCCAGGACATTAATGTGACGTTGCTTCAAAATTAATTTAGAAATTTCACATGAATTACCATTGCCACTAATATCTTAAATTTGTGATCTTTTTGCTCCTGAAATAAAATATTATTAAAAATATATATAAAATTAATTATGTTGCCGATAAAAGTTTCAAGAAAAAGAATTTTTGAAATTTTAGAGTAAAAGTGACCCCAAACAGATTAAATACAAATCAAACTTCAAAGATAAATTCACCAAACCTTGTCACTTTGGAATCAGGCTTCAGGTAATTCATTGTCATTTTCTTCCAAAAGTATTACTTTCAGTTATCGTCACTTGTAAATCATTGTTTTATTGCTCCTCATCAAGTGGAATATTTTATTCAAAACATAAATTTATTTCTATCTTATATAAACAAAATCTTACAACATTCACACCTGCATGATTTCATCTAAATATTCAATTCAATTTTATTGCCAACAGCCCATATTTTTGCCAGACACCAGACTTTCCCTTATAAAATATTTTTAAGATTTATTTGAAAGTTAAAAATTTTAACCTTTTAAATTGTTCATTGTCGTTAAAGAATATAGAAATAGAAAATTTTTTAAGTAATTTAGAAAACAAGCAGACGATTCTTCCGGCAACGTGTACTAACTAAAATGAAATCAAAACAAAGAAAATCAATTTAACTTTTTTAATAAAATCGATAAAAACATGAAATATTTTTCATTTCTTTCCTAAAACGATTAAGGTATATATGATTTTTTGATTCGATTTCCACATTTCTCTAAGGTCAATAGAAAATTTTAAATTCCCCGTAGGAATTAAAACGATTTAAAATACAAATTATTCCTTAAAGGCTCACCTTTGTACAAAAATCAATAATAAAAGTTAAAAATAAAACAAAAGGATATTATGTGTGAATGTTGCGCTCTAATTATATGTATGTATAAGAAATTCTAACCCATTATTTGAAGACAAAAATTGATACCCAGAAAAACAAGAAAGTGTTTGCGCTTTTACTTTTGTAATTTTTTTTGAAAAATTTTTACCTTTCCCAATAAATTTACTTGTAATAAAGGATAAAATCGTAAAAAGATAAAATTCAAAAAGTTTTTCTCAACTAAATTTAATTTGATTATTTCTTTACTTGGATACCAAAAAAAAAAAAGAAGAAAAAGAATTGAAAAAGGTATGATTTCCACCTGTTTTATATTTCAGAGATTTCAATTTGTTTAATTGACTGAAAAGAAAAATCGACAGATTGCAAAATTGACATGAAATGTTAATTTTATTTTTAGGTAAAGCAATCAATGAGATGTTGTAAATTCAAATAGGTGGCATCAATATCACAAGACACAGCAAAAAAACTTAATTTAAATCTTAAATTTTTTACTTAAAAATTTATTTTTAAAAGCTTTATTTTAAAACCTTTAAACAGCTTAGCAGGACAACTGGTATAATTTTATAGTTG